GCCGGCCAGGGCTGCCCCCACGGAGCCCGCACACCGGGCGGCGGGAGGCACAGCACCCGAGACTCCGTCCCGCGTCCTGAAATCCAGGCTCCCGTGTGGCGCGCAGCCCCGCGGGGAAAATGGCAGCACGTCTCTCCGTCGGTATCCGATGTCGCTGGGATGCCCCGAAGTGCATCGTGCCGGGGCCGAGCGCCCACAGCTGAGCCGGCCGCACTCCGGGCCCCCGGGGCCTCTGCAAGGTGACCCACCAGCAACCAGACGAGGGGCAGTCAGCAGCGTCCGGGACCGGCGGCTGCGAGCTGGCTCGGCCCCGTCCCGCCAGCCCGGCCTCCGACAAGGAAGGCGCAGCCCCCGTGGTCGGAGCGCGAGCCGGTGGCCCGAAGGCCTGGGCCTCCCGCTGCCCTCCCGCTGCCCGGCCGGGAGCAGGGCCCGGCGTCTGGCCCGAGAGCGTGCGCTCGCACGTGGGGAGGCAGGAGCACAGGCCCGCGCTGCGCAGCACACGCACTCGACACACAGAGGGCGAGCTGCGCTCTGCGGCCGTCCTCAGCGCCCACCTGCGCTCAGGAGAACCCGGGACCAGCCACGCCCCGTCCACGGCTCTCCCTACACCGGGCTCTCTGCAGTCCAGGGGCGCACGCGCCGGCACACACCCCCGGCCTGGGTGGCCCTGTGGGCAGAGCGACAGCAGGAGGCAGCCGGGAACGCCAGGGGCCGAGCACAGCCTCATTTCCCACACGATGGTCTGGAGGGGCCCTGAGCGTGGGCATGGCCAGCGCTGGGTGCCCACCACACTGAGCCACACTGTGCTGCACTTACACACTGAACTGCGCACTTACGGGTGGTCAAACAGAGAAACCTGCCCGGCCGGCGTGGCTCAGGGGCTGGGCATTGACCTATGAACCAGGAGGTCGTGGTTCCATTTCTGGTCAGGGCTCATGCCCGGGTTGCAAGCTCGATCCCTCTTGGGGGCATGCAGAAGGCAGCCGATCCGATTCTCTCTCAACTCCCTTCCTCAATAAAAATATATATTAAAAAAACGAATATAAACGAGAACCCTGCCCTCCACGCAGGGTCAGACCACGTGACCGACCGATCTGCCGCACGGCGGTCCCCACTGCGCAGCGGCCGGGTGGGCTCAGGGGCCGGCGTCGGCTCCGGCAGGCGGTGCTGTGATGGACGAGGCTGGCCAGGCACCCCGGTGCACCCCAGCTTCAGGTGCGCCATCACGCACGACTGCGGACAGAGGAAAATCCTGATACGGAGTATCAGGATCTGCAGATCGGGCGGGACGGACCTGCACACGCTGCGGCCGCGAAGGAAACGCTCCGTGTGTTTTGTTTTCTTTTAAAATATATTTTATTGATTTTTCACAGAGAGGAAGAGAGAGGGATAGAGTTAGAAACATCGATGAGAATCATCGATCAGCTGCCTCTTGCACGCCCCCTACTGGGGATGTGCCCGCAACCAAGGTCCATGCCCTTGACCGGAATCGAACCCGGGACCCTTCAGTCTGCAGGCAGCTCTATCCCATGAGCCACACCGGTTTCAGCATCTTCGTGTTTTTAAAGACTCCGTAGCCAGCCACTCACTGGGCCCGGGTTTCCTGTTCCGGGACCTTCCACAGGCGTGCTCACAGGGTCCTTCACACACGTCGAGGGGAGGGACAGAGGAGGCTTCTCCGGGCCTGGTCACCTCCCTGGGCTCCCCGCGCTCAAGCGTCTTAGCAGGATCTCTGGCTCGTGGAGGACGGCCGGGCTGGGGAGGATGATCGGGGCAGGGGGGACGGCGGGGGCGGGAGCAGTGGGGGCGGGGACGGGAGCAGCGGGGGCGGGGGGCAGGGGCGGGAGCAGCGGGGCTCCCGGAAGCTTCCTAGGCGTGCCCGCCAACAATTAAAAGCGAGTAGAGCCCGGCTGACGTGGCTCAGGGGCTGAGTGTTGACCTCTGACCCAAGAGGTCAGGGTTCGATCCCGGTCAGGACACAGGCCCGGGTTTGGGCTCCCCGGAGTGTGGGGCGTGCAGGAGGCAGCTGCTCCGTGATTCTCTCTCCACTGGCGTTTCTCTCCCGCGGACCTCAGTAAGATAAACAAATAGAAGGGTGAAGAGGAATGTGACAGCTCCGGGTCCAGGTGTGCCCGCACCCATGACGCCCGGGGCTCAGGCGGGGAGTGCAGCCCCAGACCAGGATGCTGTCACGGTTACGCACACAGACGGAACTCCAGCACATACCTCATCAAGCTCACCAAGATGTGGGCCACTCTCGGCCCCATGAGAACCGGCGTGGATCCTCACCTTGTCCCTGTCCCAGAAGCCAGGCCCAGGGCAGCCCCCGGGGCACTCTGTCCCCCTCCCCCTGTCTGCGTTGCTCGGGACGGGCTTTGTGGCCGACCCAGCGGTCTCCTGGGACCTGCGGGCAGGGAGGGGTTCACTTGAGGGTCAAGGGTACAGAGGACGATGGCCTGGGAACCCAACAGCCGAGTCAGGAAGTAACAGGAGCTGAACCCCGTGGCCGGTGCGGTCTGAGGACTCCCCAGGCGAAGGGCGAGCGACCTGCGTGGGTGCTGCCCGCAGCTCTCCGCGAGGAAAGGAGAGCCACGCTTCCCCACGGTGGCGGGGGCAGGAAGGCGAGGACTGGCCTCGGCTCTGTGTCCGGAGCCTGCGGCGTCGCCTGGAACTGCCACGGGCTCCGGCTCCAGCCTGCTGCCTGCACCTCCCGGGCCCTGGGGCCGATCCCTCACAGGAAGTCTCTCCTATGGCTCTGATGTAACCGCGTCCATTCAAAACACCCCTCTCCACAGGGGATGCGTCCCAAGACCCCCTCCCTGTGGGTGCCTGAAGCCGCTGCGGGACGTCATGTCACTGGGACCCACGGCTGACGGCGCGGGGTTACTGGTAAAGGCTCTTAATTACCACGGAAAGCTGCAAAGACATTTACTGATTATTGAGACTTATAGCCCTGCCCTTTTACATGTTTTTCAAATAAACCTGTTGTCGTGGTAACTCCATTAAAACAAGATGCAACCTGGTTTAAAGACCCCGAGAGCTAATTACAATAGTGCTTTATACTTCGTTACACTTTCTTCTGAGGAGTTCAATGCACCTCACTCATTAGCTCTCTAACCATCCTCTGAAGTCTTTAGGGAACAAAGGTTATTATACCCATTTTACAGGTGGAGACACCGAGGCACGGATGGGTTAAATGGCCTGGCCACTGGCAGCAGCTCAGCTGCGAGCAAGTCTGGGCCGGGCCAGGCCTGCCCTTTTCCTTCCTGTCTCCACTCAGGAGACCCGTTCTGGTTGTGAAAACCCGCACCCCGAAAGCCTGCTGGTCTGGGGGTGTGGTCTGGGCTCCAGACTGCAGTCCCTGTCTGCAGACACGGCCGCCGGGCCCGAACGCTGCCGGGTTCCCCAGGGGAGAGAGGCAGTGCCGGAGGTCCCGAGGGTGGGACCTGCCACTCCCCGGGGACTCTGCCTGCAGAGCCCACACCCACGGGCCTTGGTGTCCACGGCGAGATCCAACCCGATGCTCCCGGAGTGGTGGGGCCGCGCGGGAGCCGGCTGGCACCAACCTGCTCCGCCTCCACCACCAGAGTCTGACCCTCCCTGCCGGCCCCGTGGCCAACAGGCTGCTCCTGGGCACCCAGGCAAACCGCCCAGGCCCTGTGCTGGCCCCGTGGTCCTCAGAGCAGGCCCAGGTGAGCGGTGGCGGCTGTGAGGACAGAGTTCTGGCCCCACCTCCGAGCCACTGCGTCAGGGGGCTCACACGCCTCTGGGCCTCTCTGACCAGAATGTTCCTCCCCCGGGCATCCCAGCTGACGTCCTTCCTGCCTCCCCGCCTCTTCTCAGTGCCGCTGTCCCAGGGCCCTCCTGACCCAGCCTGGGGCCCGGGACAAACGGGTGTCCCAGGGGGAGCACGCAGCCTACAGCGAACACAGGAAGTGAGGTCCAGAGCCTGGACCTTTTGCCCTGCAGGGACAGTGGGCGAGGGATCCCAGCGGGCCCTGCGCTGCCCTTTCAGGAGCCCCCCCAACAGAAGCCCCAGACACCCCTCCTCACTGAAGGACAGGCGAGCGGAGGGGCGTGCAGGGTGGGAGCTGCTGCGACACCGTGTCTCACTCCCGGAGCCTCCGCCTGCGCCAGCGGCTCCTCAGGTGCAGCCTCAGGCCGCCCTCGCCGAAGGGAGGAAGTGAGACTCAAGGCAAATAAGCAGGCGGAGTTCACACACTGGGTAGGCCACCGGCTCCCCTGGCCAGGCTGCTGGCTGCCAGCGCCCCAGGGCCCAGATGGATGGCCCCCCGGGACTGGGTGGTGCTGAGGCCCAGACCTGAACCCCTCTGCAGCCTGCACTCCGCTGCTGGGCACCTCGGGGGGCCCCAGAAGGGAGGGGCCTGGGAGCGGGCACAGGAGCGAAGGGCCGAGCCCAGGAAAGGCCTGGAGCGCTGGGCCCGGGAAGCCGGGGCCTCGGCCTGAGGAAGCCAGGGCGGCGGGTGCTCTGGGAGAGGAGTGCATGGGGCGCGGGAGACGGGACCAGACGCCGGAGGAGGAAGCAGCCAGCACCAGGCTGAGTGGGCGGAGGCCGTGGGGGATAAAGGTCTTTCTGGTACTGTCTTCGCGCGCGCGCGCACACACACACATACACACACACCCCTTCATACTGCACAGACACTGACATACACTTTGTGGGGGGGAAAATCTACATTTCAGACCACAGACTGGACGTGGGAGCCACGCTGGCCCTGCTGTGGAGCCAGCCGGTCTGCACGAAGAGCAGAGACAGGACCGGAGGGGAAGAAGCTGAGAGCAGACGGAGGAATGGGGACCTGGGCCCAGGGCCGAGGCAGCTGCAGCTTCGCAGCCTGTTGGCCAGTGAACAGACTCCAGCTTCCCAGTCGGATTCTGTCACCAACCACCCGCTGCCTCCCAGGGGCACGGAGTCACACCAACACCCAAGAAACAGGAACCAACGCCAATGCTCAGGTGAGCTCATGGAAAGGGTCTGTTTGAAGAAGCCGTTCATACACAGTGTTTATTTTTATAAATGTGTTCTCCAGCCATTTCTCTCTGTGCGGGGGAGAAACATAAAAAAGTCTGAATGTAAGCTTGAACTGAGTATAAAAGAATACAAGTAAGCTTCTATTTCTTGTTTTAGGTTATTACATATTTTATATTCTCTTGGTATAAAAATATTTTTTAAAATCCCACACTGATATATAGACCAGCAGCACACCTACCAGCACACACACACACACACACACACACCCCACCAAGGCTGCACAGGAGCAGACCACACGTGCTTCTGGGGGGTCCGCGGGGAGAGGGGGGCCTGGGAGAGGAGCGCAGGGACACGCTCAGCCTCACTGTCAGCACAGGCCCCCAGGCCTGGCTCCCGTTTCACCGGTGAGACACCATCCCCCGGTCCTCTTGATTGGCATGATTGACGGGGGGAGGCACCGCTCTGGCCCAGACGGCGGGGGACACGTTGTCAGTCTTGGCCGTGGAGGTGGGAGTGGACACCGGCTCCCGATGGCCAGCGGGCGGAGCTGCTGAGTCCGGTGCGGGCCTCAGGGCTCAGGGGAAGGGCCGTCCTCGCTTGCGCCGGGACTTGAGGTGGCCGGCGGGGCGGCGCAGCGCCTTCCTCTCCTGCCGGTGCATCTTCTCGGCCGCCTGCTGCTGCTTCTGCTGCTCCGACTGGAGGAGAAAACCACATGAGAGGGAGAGAGAAAAGGCCCACAGCCCCTGGTCTCCATCTTGGGGCGGGACAGGCGCTGACAGAGCCCCGAGCCCGGAGCGACAAAGCACAGGCCTGGCGCTGCACCCGCACGGCGCTGCCGGCCGTCCCCCCCGCCCCCCCCCCCGAAGGGACCACCCTGGGAAGAGGCACCTCCAGGAGCCGGCACCGCGCAGAGGCCGCCGACTTGCTCTTCTGTTCACAGGCCGGACCACGGCTCACTCACCCCGTCTTCAGACACCCAGACTCCGGTCCCTAACTGAGTGTGACCCCGCCTCAACGGAGCTCACCTTCACAGTGTGAGATGACGAACGCTAACTAAAAAGTTCCTACCATATGGCAAGGCTGATGCCACCCGAGAGCCTCAAAGGACCAGAGGCCAGCGGATACGCAGGCGTCTTCAAACTACGGCCCGCGGGCCACATGCGGCCGGCAGAGGAGTCTGATCCGGCCCGCCAGGTTTTTTGGGCAGTGAGCGCAGCCGAGGTGTTACAGTAGGAATTAGTAGTTCATATAGTCCGGCCCTCCAGCTCTCTGAGGGACCGTGATCTGGCCCCCACTTTAAAAAGTTTGAGGACCCCTGGATAGAGGATCTGAACAGACATTTCTCCAAAGAAAACACACACATGGCCAGTCAGACATACACAATGCTGCACGCTGACAGCCATGGGAGACGCACATTAACAGACAACAGACATGACGACTATGGAAAAGACGACCACACACGTGCAGCGAGCCGAGGAGACCTGGCCCTCTGCGCACGGCTGCCAGGTGTGCAGATGGGCCGGCGCCTTGGAGAACAGCCGGCAGCTCCTCGGAAAGTTCTTAGTCACAACTCCACCCCAGGTACACCCCAAGGCCAACGACAACACAGTCCACACAACACCTTCTACCCAAGTCCCATGGCAGCATTATTCCTCACAGGCAGGAATGTCCCAGCCCTAAAGGAGTGGCGTTCCGCTCCAGCCGCCACGTGGGCCCCGAAGGAGTGGCGAGAGCCGCCGGCGCCAGAGGAAGCACCGGTGACTCCACTCATAGGAGATGTCCGAGCAGACAGACCCACAGACAGGAGAGAGCAGTGGCTGCCCTGAGTTTCCTTCTGGGGTGATGAGGATGAGCTGGAATCGGGTAATGCTGATGATCACACAGTGTAAACCCTGACCTGATTACTGTAAAAGGGTGAATTTTAAGGATTCTGAAGGACATCTCAATTTTTAAAAATCAGAGGTAGAATCTTTGACATCCTTTCCCACTTGATAACAAGATATATTAAGGGAAATCTACTGAATGAGAAAAATGTTTGGAAAAATAAGACACCTAGTTTTACTCGTTAGTTAACAGCCTGTACGGAAGCCTGCTCCTCCTGATGCGTGCCGGCCTCAAGTGTGACCCTGAAGACGGGCTCTCACGAACCTGAGGACAGGACCCACACACGCATCCCCTCTGAACTGCACCCCTGGCAGCTGCGCGGCGCTGCCACCACGGCTCCCTCGCCCTCCTCGGTCCTGAAAGCCACAAAACGTCCCCGCTTCCTTCCCCACGGCCTGGGGGCCAGGACTTCTCTGCTCCGCACGCTGCTCTCGGGTCCCGTGGCCCAGAAACCAGCAGAGCCCACCTCGGTCACCAGGACCCTAGGCAATTGCCTGGCTCTGCCTATGCTCGGGGAGGCAGGCACGGGCCCCCACGCACTCTGCCGCCAGGTGCCCGTGGGTCAAGAAGTGACACCAGCAAACGACTCACCCTCTTCAGCGTGAATGTCAGCTGCTTGCTGCCCACCGTGGTGTCGGACACACTCAACGTCCCGTTCTTTGCTTCCAGTTTCAGCCGATCTTCTAAGGTTTTGCTATGAGGGATGTGAGAGATGCACAGTAATTAGCACTGTTGTGATCTGCCAGTCAAAGCAGATTTAAATTAGGGATGGTCACCTGAGGATAAGCCTGTTCCAGGGGGCAATGAGGGCAAGAATGGAGGCCACCCCGCATGCTCAGACACACAGTGACGGCGGCTAGAGACCCTCCCATTTAACATGTTAAGGTCAAAGGCTGCCGTTTCTCTTCCTGACTCCTGTTTGTGACCTGTGTGATGGGCAGTGGCCTTCTGCAGGGGCTAGGAGGTGAGTACTTCAGCCTCACGTGCCCAGAGGACAGAACACCAGGGCCCCCCGCGTCCCCCGCAGAGCAGCCGGGAGCGCCTTGCCTGCCCTCCTGGGGTCAGCTGGGGCCACTCACCAGCCACATGGGAACGGCCTGACCATGAACCGCCTGTTTCCAGAGAAAAGCAACGAGGCCCCGAAGCCCTCGGACCCGCCCTGGGCATGGCCCTCTCCGGCGCCTTTCCACTTCCCACCGGAACGCCTGCCCGGCCCACGGGCCCCGCCTGCCATCTCCTCCCCGCTCTATGCCCAGACTTCTCCTGGGCCTCCGCCATGGTGCCTGCGCTGCACTTCCCTCCCTCTGCCTACGGAACCCTCCTGCCACCCCTACAATCCAGAAGAGAACCTGAATTCTGTGCTAATTACACAACATCCACATCTTCCCCACGGCCTCTTGGCCAGGACTTCTCCGCTCTGCATGCTGCTCTCAGGTCCCAGTGGCCCAGAAGCCAGCAGTGCGTGTCGTCACAATGCTTTACTGGGAAAATGAAAACACTGCCCTTTTTGTTTACTTGGTTTTCAGGGGAAATGGAATTAAGCCTACAGATAGACACCCTAACTAACTTAACATCAGCACTAATCCGTCTGGAGGAAAGGCTAAAGCAACACCCTCACCCCCATGATGAACCTGGAAGGGGGGAGGGGGAAGGAGAGACTATGGCTTTGTTGTCTGTTCTGCTCCCTCCTCCAAACAGAGAAAATGCACTTCCCTTCCCAGCCTCAGCACCGGCCGGAAGGTGCATGTCCCTCTACAGTCAGTCCTGAGCAGGGGTGGGCTGGGGGCTGTGTGGAAGGCTCTTCCTGTGGAGTCCGAGCTCTGAGAATGCCCGAGTGCCGCTCGGCTCCTGCGGGGCCCCGAGGCGGGTGCTCTGGGACAGCCCGAGCCCGTCCGAGTCCGCCCGGCGAGCGCTCCGGCTCCGGCAGCCGTCACCCCTGACCTGCCGTCTCGGTCCAGGGGGAGACGCGGTGGTGAGGGTAAGGCGGCCCTCCTTCCTAGCGAGCACGCCGTAAGAGGCACTTTAAAGCACCTTTCATCTTTCCAGTCCTTTACAGTCTCATTCATCCTTTCGTCATCCCGAGAAGGAAGTACTTATCCTTTTTCTTTTTGTTTTTTACATAAAAAAAGATTTTACTCACAATTTTAAAAGAAAATAAACACCGAAGAATTGACAATTTACACCAGATATACCACCTTCAGTATTTCAGGATTATAACCCTTATTTAGAAAAATAAAATAACTCCTCTGAACTCAGGAAAAAAGGAAGAGGGGAAAGCCAGTGACATTTATAGCCCAAAGTGGAGAAGTGATTTCTCTTTACATTGGGGACTGCACAGGCCAGGCCTCTATCCGCTGATCCCAGTGAGCTTTCTCGTTAAACGCTGGCTCTTGGGCGACCTTAGCCTTTCCCTCAGACTCCCGCTCTGTGGTCACTCTCTGCAGGTCAGTGAAGGCCCTGTCTCTCCCAGGCTCCGCCCGCCGGAGCAGGGCATGTGCTGTGTGAGTGAGGAGGCTCACGGCTTTTTGTGATTGCTTGTGGAAGTCGAGCCGTTTCTTCCTGTCCCTGATCATAACGAAGGAAGGTCTTGTCTCTCTCAGAGGTAAGATATTACATCTTGGTATTACCCTGAATTTGTGCCAAATGACGCTATTTTCCCAGCATGCACTTAAGTCTTCACTGTCTCTTGTCTTCAAAAGCGCTACATCAGTTTGTGCCTGGCAAGATGGAGACGGGCGCCCTCACTCTCAGGTCTTCTTCCGATCATCTTCCTCCTGTAGCAATTTCCTCTGCTTCTAAAGCCTTGACAAAGGAATCAACTCTGCAAGATTTATTTTGTGCTTTTTCAGTCTCTAAAACTGTAGATCTAAGTCTTTTTGCTGTACCTTCCACTATTAGTACGTTATTTTGCTGGCAGTGAATTCAGCCAGGCTCCCTGTGGCTTCCTGTGCTCCTTGCGTATGACATTGCAGGTCGGCTACACTGGAAGCGGTTCAGGCCGAGTGCTGAGCGGTGTGGAGCAGGTGCACGCAGCCCCAGCCGCCCGTGTCCCTCACGCTGCTGCTCCATGTCCTTCAAACTCTTGGTTCCTTCAGGTTCCTTGCTAAGGTGTCCACCCCAAAACTTGTCTCTTTTCTAGTTGCTCTGCTAGTTGGTCCATTTTAATCAATTTTACCAAGATGCTCACGTGGCTCGCTAAACTGTCTATCTGACTGCCACCCCCTCGTTCTCCAGGAGTTCCCAACACATTCTTCCAAGCCGCGCTGTGTCTGTCGGAGGTCTCCCACCTGTGATTCAGTGGAGAGAGGATTTATGCTGATTTCTCTCTTCTTGTTCTAGCGGAGAGTCTCCTGGTGTTTCAGTATCAGAAACTGGAGTCCCCAGACCAAACTCACGTTCTTGCTGGTAACCTGGAGCTCCAGTCCATCCTCGCAGCTCCCCAGCCGTCCTTCCGGGGCTCACCTTACCGGCGGCACAGGGAGGGAGATGCTACGGGACCTGCCCCAGGCGACGCAGGGTTCAAGTTTAAGCCCCGGGTTCCAGGGCGAGGGCCTCTGGTTCCCAGGCTGTGTCAGGCCACACTTTACTTATCAAGCTTTGCTCAGGAAATGTGTCCAGTGAGGATTCTAGAGGACAAGCTTCCACATGACAAATGGCATGAGATTACGACTGACTTTGGCTTTAAAACACACACACAATAATTCTAAAGAGAAGCGTAACTGACTCGCCTCGCGCGAACTGTCAGCTCAGCAGGTCCTCGCCCGCTCATTTCCGCTGTTTCTCAGAGCCATCACCTCCAGCCTCAGCGGTAACGGGGATGGGGAGGAACGTCGGAGCCACGGAGACAAGGTGGCAACAGAGCACACTAATTTGGGAAGAAAAAGGCTTTTCAAGTAAGTGGTGGGCAATTACTCCTCCTTCCAGAATGACCTAGCTCCTCTGCGGCAGGCACACGTCCTGTTCTCTCCCCACGTCCTCGCACTGCGCGCCTGCAGGGACTTGTCTGTCTGCAGGGGGAGAGACAGGCGTGGGGCCGTGGCAGGAGATCAGACACAGGCCAGCGAGCAGCCTGCTCCATGAAAGCCTGCGAGTCAGCGTGCAGACGGCTGCTGCCTCCGTGAGCTCAGAGAAGACGGGAAGCAGACAGACCCGGAAAGCGGCTACTGGGACAGAATGGCGCGCCTCCCGCCCATGTCTCCCCTTTCCCCCTTCCCTCCCCCCCTCTCCCTGGCGCTGCTGCCCTCCCACCCAGGCTTCAGTCTGCTGGCTGCGGGCTCCCCTGGAGCTGATAGAATTTCAGAGGGAAATCTCACTGTCACAGATAGACAATCACCCCCCTAATGTGTGGGGACTGCCAAGAAGACAGAGATGGGCTTCAGAAGGCTGAAAGTGAGAAGAGTTACTCGGGGCAGGACGGGGCAGGCACGGGGAGGAACTAAATTATCAGAGGGCTGCATTAAAGGAGAAATGTGGGCACGAATTACAAAGGAAAACCGAATGAGATATTGATCAGAGCCCAGGACAGCGGGACGACGTGCAGGCTTTAGGCATACACGCACTATTTCTTTGATTAAAACTGTGATGAACAATAATGCTCAACTGAGAGATTTTAAATCACTGTGCGTGAGAATGGACTGGAGGAGTGGGAGATAGGCACAAAGGCATTTAGAAAGGCGAAATTGACTCAAAATAAAAGCATCACCCTCTGTAGCTACATCGCAGGGAAGGGAGAAACGGACCCACAGATAAGCGGTGAATGTTAAGCACTGTGAAGTGTAAGTGCTTGTTTTAGGTACCGTGCAGCATCTCTATGACAGACACGCACATGTGCTGTGAGTCACTGGGAACTCTCTCCATGCTCTCAGCTCGCAGAGGTTGTGTCAGAGCCCCCACCTCACGGATGCTGACTCCTCAGCTATCAGCGTGGGCAAGTCTGTGAAGATTCCTACTGAACAAGTGTGTGCTGCTTTTACTCCGTAGCACGCACATCCTGGGGTGGAGTGGAATAGCTCTGGTCCTCACTTAGCTGGCACACCTTCCCTGGCTCCCAATGCTGGGCACACAGTGGCTCCCGGGAATCTCAGAGATTTCTCCGCATCGATGACTGAGGTGTCGGATTCCATGTGACAGGGGCTTTGACACAACTTACGCAGCCTATAGGGGTAAGCCTTACTGAAATCCTAATTTTTCACAATAACCTATAGTTAAGAGGCAAGGAATGTCACCCCCATGGCCACTGTACAGAAGACTGATCGGGGGCTTGGGGGAAAACAAGGGCCCCAGGAGCGTGGTTCGCAGCATAAGCACGTCCAAGCACACGCTTACCAGCAGCGAGGCCTGCCTCTCACTGCCTGCACATGCCCCTCCAGCGGCTGAGAGAGAATCACCATGGGACCGGGCTCCCGGGGCCCGCGGCGCTCCCCCCCGTAACCGAAGCCTGGGGGCCACGCTGAGGGCTCGTGCCCGGGGAAGCGAGGCCCTGCAGCCGGCGCGGAGCGTGCACTCACTTCCTCAGCCTCTGCCTGGTGGCGGAGTCCTTGAAGCTCCTGAACTCCTCGCCGGCTTTGATCTCATAGAACTGGGGCCTGAGGACCGTCTGCTGGTCCTCCCTGAGCCGCTCCTGCCGCCTCGCCCTCTCCTCCTGCTGCAGCAGCCGCCGCTGCTTCCTGACCTCGTCGACCCAGCCCTTCTCATCATCGGAGCTCTCAGAGCTTTCCGCATCGCTGGGCCTTCCTTCCAGCTCTTCCTCCTCTTCCTGAAAGTAAAAATAGTCAGCAGCAGCCCCCGTCCCAGCCAAACCCGGCCCGCTCTTGCTTTTAAATAGCACTGGCCCCTCGGAGTACGTGACAGTGCCCGCATCGGGAAAGTGCCCGGAACGGCCACGTGCACGCCAGAGCCACAGGTCACACACACACACACACACACACACACACGCACGCACGCACGCGCGCACACACACACACACACACACACACACACACGCGCGCGCGCGCGCGCGCACGCGCACGCGCACACTCTCAGCCAGCCCCGCGGAGCACAGAGACCGTCACCCGACAAAAGCATGGCAACACGGGAAACAGGACACGACCTTTTGAGGAGCTTCTTGTTGCTCTAAGAGTCTCAGTTTCTTCTTCCTCTTTTCACTAATTTTTGAAACAAGTGGATTCAAAAGCCTGAATTCTTCACTCTCTTCGTCTACTTGGAAGTCAGGGTTCTCAAACATAACTTTGAACCGATCGTCGGTGAGAATGTTAGGAAGGTTCTGTGAAAAGAACAGAAACATTTAAAGTTAATACCTGAAGAGTCTGACCAGAAAGATGGCTTTAACACGTTTCACTCAACTATAAACTAATAAGCTGCCTGAGGCATAACTCAGCAAATCATTGTGCCATTTTCCAGAATTAGTTTCCAGAACTGATTCACAGCTGGCAGCCTTACTGGGCATCACACATGTGAGCTAGGAACAAGCCTTTCTGACTAAGTTTATGCTTAACACATCAGAAAGAATTTTCTTCCGTAACATCTTCAAGAAAATACGTTTTTGAAACCTTGCTTAAGTATAGCTACTATCCTGAATTAAAAATAGTGAAGAAAAAGGAAAGAGCCGGGACCGGTTTGGCTCAATGGATAGAGCTTCAGCTTGGGGACTGAAGGGTCCCGGGTTCGATTCCGGTCAAGGGCATGTACCTTGGTTGCGGGTATATCCCCAGTAGGGGGTGTGCAGGAGGTGACTGATCAATGACTCTCTTTAATCGATGTTTCTAACTCTCTCTCTCCTTTCCTCTCTGTACAAAATCAATAAAATATATTTTTAAAAAAAAAGGAAAGAAAAAAACAAAAAAAGAACAAAAAAAAAGAAAAAAAGAAAAAGGAAGAAAAGTTAAATCAGTGAGTCTTTCAACTTCGTTCCAAAACCAGGGAGGAAGCACATGGACAGCAGTCAAGAAGGACCCGGGGGAGGGAGGGGTAGTGGTTGGGGGAGTAGGGGGTGGCAGGGGGGCGGGGGCACAGGTGTGTGCCAGTCACTGCTCCAGCTGAGCTCCTGGGAAACAAACAGGGCTATTCCCGTCCCTTCTAGAACACAGAAACAGGTTTAAGGTGGTAGACTCTTATGGTTCTCTCTTCTCTAAAACAAATAAACTGCCTAAAACAAGCAGGAGCTGGAAGAACAACTATAAAATGAACACTCTTCCGACCCAGCTGGGGAAATGCTTTCCCAGAGCCTTTCCCGCGCCTCATTGTGTTCACAGGATGCGGTGCTGGAGTGATGTTCTACAGGAGTTTACAAGTGTCTGGCTAGTGATCTGCCTATAAACGCTCATGTAAGACACCAAACACTGCCATTCACCTTGGAAAACATCTGTAAGTATTGTTTATATCTAAGCCGACCTCAAAGACGGAGATCTGCAGATCTGAGTAGGTGCTCATTAATGTTTTTTTCCCAGCACAGGAACACATCTGAGGAATGTTTGACATTTAAACAGATTAATTACTCCCAGGCTATGGCGGCCGGGAAATTAGGCGATGCAGAATTCTGAGAAACGATGGTTTCAGCGGGAGCATCGTCTCTGCAGAACCCACCCGCTGAGAACGTGGGAAGGGGCTTCACCAAGCCTTCAGGTGCAGAGGCCATACGGGGAACGGGCAGGGAGACTCTGAAGAGGGGAAGGCCTAGGACCGGCTCTCCAGCCGGGACGTTGGAGGCAGGAGAGGAGGTTGGCACGGAGGGGATGCCACCCACCCCGCAGCCCGCCGGAGCCTAGCGCTCACTCTCAGGCTGGCGGTGGGCTGTCGTTCTCCAACAGGAGAATCTGACCACCAAGAGAAAGGCCTTCAGCAAAGTGTCTGCACAGGTCTCTGAGCTTCCCCGTGAGGCCGCGTGGCCAGGCCCCACAGCGCCTGCGGGCCTGCCGCCACTGGACGCCTCGTTCCGCTCCTTATCCTTCTCCCCAGTATGGACGCACGGCCACGGCCACGGCCACGGCCACGGCCACGGCCACGGCGGAGAGAACCCTTCCACTTTCCCCAGGGGAACCTCCCAGTGGAAGAACCCAAATGTCAGGACTGAAAGGCCACCAAGCAGCCGCCCCGTCGCTCGTGTGGCACAGAGCCAGCCCCGGGCTTCCCTGCTCCTTCCTGCTCTGTTTGAGGAGAAATCCTAAGGAACTTCCTGAGGAAAAGCAGCAGCGAGGGCCGTTTGTTGTTGTCCGGCACCTGCAGGTGTGACATGTCTTCACCCTCCCGACCCCTGACGCACGTCTGGCCGGCAGCCACGTCTGCGTCCCCCGCAGGGAGCGGGGAGGGGGATGGGAAGGGGAGTGGGGAGGAGGAGCGGGTCCCCAAGACGATGGCTGTGGAGCAGGACTCCGGATGCCGGGGACATGGGGCCGGCAGGAAGATGGAGAAGAGGCTGGTCAGGAAAATGAAGTTAATTAACTACTGATCTTCACACGTTTCTTGGGATGCAACTGAGACAGCGGGCAAAGAACTGAGGCTGAGTAGTGATGACAACAGAGGAAACAAACAAGAAGGCCGTTATCAAGCCCAGGGGAGAGGGCTGGCAGGAAGTGCGATCAGGAAGGGTACTCCCACCGAATGTGAAGAACATAACATCTGCACAGCCACAGCCACAAAATGCCGAGCCCCAACTTACCCGCTACCGAGGGTGCTGGGGGAGGCAGTGAGGAGGCAAGGCTCTTAACACTCAAGCAGCAGCGCTATTAGGAGGCACAGAGTTTTACACCAAAACAATCGGCTAAGAAGGGCTGTGACCCTCAGGAGAAGTGGAAATGGGGGAGGGGGGAGAAGGGACCGTAGGGGGAGGGGGAGAAGAGGAGGAAAGGACAGAGGGGTGGTCAACATTCTTAACAAACTTTGGAGAAATGTTAGGTTTTTAAACTACGTGTGTACTTCTATTATAACAACAATTTTTAATGGGTACTAAAAAGATGTTTAAATAATACTTTGGGTGTCGGAACTGATCTGATGCAACGCAGTGTCTATGCACGGTTATACCATTCCCCTGAACTGTTCCTTTAACACAAACTCTCAACGGTGCAGAACGGCCCAGGCTGGAGGGACGCCTCCTGCCTGGCCTCCGGGCCACAGGCCACGGGCCCGGAGGGGTCTTGCCGGCAATGCTGACTGAGCTGCTGCGGGTCCCAGGGAAGCGCGTTTCTGGAGACCTAAAGGCAGCGGCAAAAGGCTGGCAGCAGAGGCCCCGAGGCAGAAAACGATACTCCTCACCAGCAAACCCACACACCGAAAACTGGTCCGGTGCCGGCCTGGCCAGCGCCTGCGCGGGGAGCTCAGACACCGTGCTGCAAGGACAGAGGAGCCGTTTTCGATGGAAGGAACACAGCACAGCTCAGGGCCTGGACAGGGCCCAGAAGACGCTACGTGGTGGGTCACCTTCGGCAGCAGGTCCCACATCAGGACGGTAAACACCTCGCCAGACTTTATGTTATTAGCGGCAGCAACTTCTGGGACATGGCTCACTGTCTGACTCCACGCGGGTCCGGCTGGAGCCAAAGCGGAACCTGGCTGCACCTCACTTTCAGATCAGGAATTATCAGCGCTGCTACAGCTCATGAGAGTTTGAAGAGCGAGTTCAAAGGCAAGACTAATGAACTGCTGATGGATTTAACAATTCTTTCAAGTATTTTTTACAATTATAATGAAGGATTCTCTCTTTGGTTCCAGGATGGTTTTTAAAGTCTTCATTTTAATTAGATAACATTAATAAACAACAAATCATACGACCTTTAATAGCAGCCTGGGGTTTTTAGAAGACTCCAAGCATTTCTGCAGACACTGAAGGCTGACAACAGAGCCTGATTTGGGTCCACAACCACCGAAAAAGCAACGAGGGGCGCATCTGACAAACAGCGCGTCCTAGCGCAACCCAACCGGGTGGCAGCCAGAGCCGGTTCCAGGTCCAGTAGCTGGAGGGACGCAGATGGCTGATGGAGGTGAGGGTTTCTAAGTTCCTCCTCACACTTGCAGGAGAAACAGTCAAAGCCCCGTGCTGCTTATGGGATGATCCGATTCATATTTTGACCAAAAAAAATTTAAAAGCACAGGCAGTCATGACTTTTCCCACCGATCACTCTGCCTGCTTCCTAGCACTTACTTGTGAAGAACTACAGAGAGGACAGAGAAAGAATAAAGCCAACAAAAACCTGAGTGCTCAACCAGCTGCCCGAAGCTGCAAGGATCAGGCCACTGGCTCAGACTCAGGTCCGCAGCCCTGAGACGGAAGCGGCCTTCTCACTCCCAGCTCTAACCCCTCGTGCCTGCCGCCTGGCTGAGCAGAGGAGAGCGCACTGGGAGGAAGTCTCACACAGCTGTAAAGTCAGCCCCGCCCCAGCCCCCTCTGATTATATCGGTTACAGAAAGCACCCGATGTTATGACTGATCTTTGTCTATTTTCCCATCGGCACAGTAAGGCAGTTAAAGGTTACGCATGCACACTCCCAATATGCCAATTCTAAGTAAAAATTGGTTACTTCTGCAATTATAAATAAATCTAGCTAGAGCAAAAAAAGCAACATTTAACCAATTATAGCCCAGCTGGCATGGCTCAGTGGTTGAGCGTCGACCAATGAACCAGGAGGTCACGGTTCGATTCCCAGTCAGGGCACAGGCCCAGGTTGCGGGCTTGATCCCCAGTGTGGGGCGTGCAGGAAACAGCCGATCAATGATTCTCTCTCATCACTGATGTTTCTATCTATCTCTCCCTCTCTGAAATAAAAAATATATATGTATATATATATATTAAAAATATCATAAATCATCCACAACATAGAATATAAAGCTCTCAAAAATATTTACCAAGAAATTTTAATAAAATGGAAAGCTAATTGTGTTATTTTATGAAACCAGGATAAATATTTTATATATACAATAGAGTCTTGCTAGCATAGTTTATAATTTTAAGAGAAATAAGATAGGAAAGAAATTCACTAAAATATGAATGCTAATATATATATAAATGCTGCTTTCCTCCAGGGGGAGTTATATGGGTGACTCCCTTATATTCTTTTCTGTTTTACAAATGTCCCATACTGAGTATATACTATCTTCCAAGTGGGGGGGGGGGGGGGGGGGGAAACAAGTGTATTTTTAAAGTAAAAACAAAAACACTCTAAGTTACTATAAAAAAAAAAATGTAGGAGCAATTCATCAATATTGTCTCCACCTTAGAAAAGCTTACCTTCACTTTCTTTTTCCATGTAGCTCTTTGCTTCTCCTCCTCCTCCTCGATTAATTTCAGCGCCAGCTCCTTGTTAACTTTCGGCAATTTCTAAGGAGGAACAGACCAGCTGTGTTAAAACACCCACATTTCAGCGCTGAAGGTTTAGCAAAGCGGAACAAAAGCCCCTGCCACCCCAGCCTCTCCTTGCGCTGGGCACTCACTCTTCTCTAACACTCACTCTTCTCTCTCTAACACTCACTCCTCTCTCTCTAACACTCACTCTTCTCTCTCTAACACTCACTCTTCTCTCTCTAACACTCACTCTTCTCTCTGACGACACTGAACAAGCACCCGGAGAGGGAAGACCGTCTCCCGCACTGAGGAGTGTGCGTCATTGTTAAGCAGCGTTCCGTCAGCAATGGCTGGACGTGGGGGTGCCTTCATGAGGGGGCAGCGAGGTGCCTGGGAGGCAGGAGGGGGGCTTGCTGGTCCTGTCTGCTTGTTGCTGGGTTGGCATCGCACGAGGACACTTTTTCAGCCTGGCAGCACCAGGTGGTTCAGGAGGTAGCGGTCCCAGGAGCATCCTGGTCCTCCCAGAGGCCCTCAGCCCAGCAGCTGCCCAGCCCTGAGCTGAGCTCCCTGGCAACTTCCTGCAGCCCAGCCTCTCTTCCCAGTCCTGTGTCCTTGTCTTTTCAGTCCTCTACTGCCTGTTAACATTCTTGACAGTCAGTTCTCTCTGCGAACATGCTAGAGTGGTCTGAGTGCTCTCTGGGCTCCGCCATGGCCTAATGCCTGCTTCCGGTGACCAAACAGCCAGCCTGAGGCTCAGTGAGCAGCGGAGGTGAGCAAAGGCCCATCGCCCAGAACCTGAGCGGCCACTGGCAAACACCCCGACTCTCTTAGGCTGACAACGCCAGTCCCCCTGCATGATTCCTCACGATACCACTGCCACAGAGTCCAGAATGACAAAACCCTCGTGATAGATAAAATGTAACACTCAAAAATTAGCAAAAGATGGAGAAACTCAGAAATAGATGACAAGCTTCTTTGGAACAATAACATGAAGGTTAAGTACGTTTTCTCTGGCAAATTCAACGGTGAGTACGATATTTACCTTTAATTGGACTCTCTGTGCCCGTGTTTCTTCTATCTTCTGTCGGATCTTATCTTTCCTATATTCTTCATAAGCGAATGGATTTACCATCAATTTCACCTTTTCAAAGTAAAAAAAAATTAAAAATTGTATTAGCATATCTCATATTTACCATAACTATTACGTCAGAGAACAGACAGATATCTTATAAATCATGAGTGTGTTTTATGAAAATGCAAATCAGTAGAGAAGAAGTGTCTATAGATTGCTCACTAGTCCCTAAAGTAACTGCACTTCTGTACTTACCTTGTGATAGAGTCTGATGTCCATGAAAAATCCATGCATGTATGCCCGGAGGAAAGGGGATCCGATGAGATGCGTGAGCCCTGGGGAGTAACCAGAGAGGCAGGCCCTTAGGGAAGCTCTGACAACAATGACTGACATCCACTTGGGAGGTTTAGACACTGCTGCATACTGTCCGCCTCAGTCACCAAGTAGCCGAAGGAGCACATTATGGCCACTTTACAGGTTATGAAACCAACACATATGAAATTCGCAGGCCAAGTCACAGCAGAGGTGGGGGGGAGAGAGAGAGATAGAGATAGAGAGAGAGAAACATCTAAGTGAGAGAGGCATATGCCCTGACTGGAGCTGGGGATCAACCTGCAATCCAGGTTTGTGCCCTTGACCAGGAATCAAACCCATGACCATTGAGTCCACAGGCCAATGCTCTAACCACTGAGCAAAATTGGCCAGGGAAATCACTGCTTTCTTGACAGATGTATTTTCTATATACAAGTAGTATGCTAAAAAAAAAAAAAAGTATTTCTTATTTAAGATGCAAAAAAGCTTCAGTAAGTTGAACTTATCTGAACCTTTCTCTAAGCACACATTACAAATTCAACAATATGTGTTTAACACCTGACTTGGCAGAAAGAGATTTGGAAAATCAGATAAACGTTGATGACACCACTTCTAAAATGTTCAAAATTCCCTCCCCCGAAACAAGCAGAAATAACATAATTTATAACCGGTTTTCCTAATTTCCTTTCTTACCTAAATTCTCCAGGTCTTTCCTGGTGACGAACTTGTAATCGTCGTAAACCGTGCTTTCTGGGTTCTCTTCCAATTCCTCCGTCAGGTTGTCCAGGAAGGAGCACCACCTGGGAGCGGGGCCCAGCACCTGCCGGCGGCAGACGGTCAGCAATGAACCCGAGGGTCCGCACTTCTACAGCCGGTGTCCGCAAACCCAACACCCACCCCTGGCTGGACAGAAGCACCGAAAGCAACTGCAACACGCACAGTCCACAAGTACACAGGGGAGAGTCTAAAAGTAGGAAGCACCTAGGCTTGTAGAGGGGAAAGCTCACTTAGGCTGGGATGCAGAGATAGTAATGAATATTCTTATATCAGAACTATGGGAACATAAGTAACTCAGGCACTTATAATAAAAGTCATCCATTCACTTATCACCTCGTGCATTCAAGACAATACTGGGATCTACAGGAGTACTTTGGGCATACCAGATTTTTTAAGTTTGCCACTCACGAAAAAAAAAGTCGAAACTGAAAATTACCCTTTTTTTCCAGGGGTTTCAACTACAATAATTACTTGATAATTATACCTGCTCTTATATGGTCTACTTCACTGAATTCATTCAAGTTAGAATTCTGTGCAGAAAGTTCTTCAGAATTGACCTGAATTGCAATGCCAGGATCCCTGAGTCAGTCCCAGGGACACTGAGGGACACAGGATTGGACAGAGTTTACACCCAACAATGAGTCTGAGTGAGGGGCATTCAGCTTGTGACCCACAAACTGCTGGTGGCTTTTGACTTTCGGGCTCTGACGCAGACACCCCCTCCCAGGGGTGGCTGCCCCAGAGGACACTGGCCGGAAGGGAGCTGTGAGCTGAAATCCTCTCTGGGGGTTTTCATGAAGTAGGACACTGGCCTGGTACATGGAACTTCCACTGCCTGCCTGCGAACTCTGGCAGGAATCAGCTACACAGAAATCATAGCTTACACCGTGTGGAGAAGGAAGGTGGGAGGAAGAGTTATACCGAAGAAAAGGGCCCCAATGCCCTCTGCAATAAAGACAGTCGATACAGCCGCATTACCTTTCCTGTTAGAAAGGATGCCCCTGCCTCCCCCCTCCCCCCAACTAACGGCGATGGGCTCATGAGCACAGGAGTCCTACTGAGAAGTTCCATGTCAGCATAATCCGCACACTTCTACACACAGAGATTACATGCACCAAGTGGTTTGACTCTAATCCTAGAAAACTAACCTTCAAGAAATGCAGGGCATCTTTTAAAAATAATTCCATGTACAGCACTTTCTAAAGGAACTGCTAGGATTTAAAGTAACCGAGGACAGCAGCTGCAGCCGCCGAGTACCGATGCCAATGCCTGCCACAGGAGCAGGAGCACACCGCGCAGCCGCCCCCGCCGGCCTCCGGCAGCAGCACCGGTCTGGCCGGGGCACAGAGCGTGCCCACCGGCACACGGGCAGACACACGGAATCTGCTCAGGAATGGACACCGGAGCGAGCTGGGAAACCACGGCCCGTCTGAGCGTGAGAGCACAGGACCCAACCACAGGGTCCCCGCTTCCCCCTGCCACGAGTCTCCCATGTGAGCTCCCCACACCCCGGTGCCGCCCTCAGACAGGAAGGCAGCACCCTCCCACCTCCGGAAGGTGAGGTCCACGCGCGGCCCTGTGCGAAGGAGGAACCTCATCAGCTTTAAGTGATGGGTTTCCAGACCCACACTGCCTGCTGAGCAGCAGGTGGTCAGTAAGTATTTCTTAAATAAATCTGTTCGTACAGAAAACATGCACTCGTGAATTTCATGTGAATAGGTGCTAAGACAAGGTTTTAAATTGTCTAGTTGTCCGTATTCGGATAAAAGCATTCCAATACCTCACTGTAACACTATGAGATCCGAGGACCCTATTTGGTGAAGTCAGACCTCGTCTGCCTCCTGGCACGCAGGCACTGGTTACTACAAACCTCACAATCAAAGAGTTTCACCTTCAAACCTTAAATCAGTCATAAACACGGCTGAAATATCAAAACAACAGACCAGACCTGACCTTGCTCTCATGGTCCTTTTCCATTATGTTCCACAAATGCCTTTTGATTCCAACTGCTCTAACTGCCTCTCGGGGACAGTGTGGTTATGGTAAATAACCTCTGCAATCAGCCACGGTCATTACATTTTATAGGAGGAAATATTTCCATCAAAAACAAAATGAAATTTAATGGCTGATTTTATTAGCCATGTTTCCCTAGTTCCCTTTCAGGGGGAAAAACACATCAGAACCACCATAACAAAGCTGGATGGCTGCTGTAAGCGGCAGCAAACCTCAGGTTTATCCACAGAATCGCTTTTCTCAAGGTCTCCATGAAGTGCCCAGCAGTGGCCGCACAGCCAGCGAGGGGGCCTACTCATCGCACCGCTCTGCTGAGCCCAGAAAGGCCACAGTATTAATCAGAGGGTCAAAGTCCCCTGCTGTCCTGATTCATAGATATATGAAACCTTCAACTAATCCTTAAAAATATATTAACTTACTTCCTAAATTTCAGGCTTTACAACTTCAAGAAAACATCTCTGAACCATTGATATACTATTATTACTACTTCAAAAGTTTCTAGGTTTCCAGCATTGTCATTATATTGCTGTATTATACTAGAGGCCTGGTGCTCAAAATGCGTGTACTTGGGGGGTCCCTCACCTGCACCCTCTCAGTCAGGAGCCCACAGGGGATGTCTGACTGACAGCTTAGGCCTGCTCCCAGGGCCCAAGCCATCAGTCAGACACCCTTAGTGCTGCCCTGGAGGTGGGAGAGGCTCCGCCACCACTGCTACGCTTGCAGCCCTGAGCCCGGCTTCTGGCTGAGCGGCAATCCCCCTGGGGGGCACACTGACCACCAGGGGCAGCTCCTGCACTGAGCATCTGCTCCCTGGTGGTCAGAGTGTGTCATAGCAACCTGTCATTCCGCCAATTTGCATATTAGGCTTTTATTATATAGGATACTTCGGTCAAAATGGATTACTTGTTTATCTACATTTTTATGCACCTTAAGAGTTCGGTTTCAGAAAAAGGACTGTTTATTTTAAACTTCTATTATCTGTTAATGTCCTTCCGCTTTTTATTTATAAAAATTTCCTAAAGTCACGAGTTGGTAAAAGTAGAGAACTGGGAACTGAGTCATTAAACATGCTATAAAGGGATGTTATGGGTCCCTTAGCAATTCAATGCCAATCTAGTCAACCAATCTAACGGAAATATTTGGTCCTCCAAAATAGGAAAGAATCTTGATCAACAGCTATGGAAGGCCTCCACTCACATGAGCCAAGCATTTGCCTCTCTAACCCATGAGGCAGAACCAACAGTGTTAAAGTGCATAAAAATAGACGCCACGTGCCCACAATCATTTGCCTCAATTATTACAATCTGCCTTTAAAATATTAATTGTATGTTTAATTTTAAAACTCCAAGTTCTCATGTATTCTGGTGATGGACAGACATGACTATGGGTGGGGAGGAAGGAGGATGAATATGAATATTCTGAGGGAGCTGACAGAGAAGGTGCTCTCTTCTCCCACTTCACTTTGAAAAACTGCTGTGCCAAACCTGGAGCTGTGTTAAGGAGAACAGAGATTGGGGGGGGGGGGGGGGGGGGCTCCTACCGGATGGATAGTTTAACAGATCAGGGGGGATGAAATAACAAACACAAAGTAAAGTATTATTAAAATTATTGGGGACAAAGACCCAACTATACCAATTTAGCGTAAATGTCACCATTGTTCAAGTTACTTATAATGCTATGACAAGGAAATTTTCCTATTTAAAAAAAAAAGTTTTTTTTTTATTGATTTCAGAGAGGAGGAGAGAGGGAGAGAAAGCCAGAAACATCAGTGTTAAGAGAGACTCACCGATCAGCCACCTCCTGCATGTCCCCTACTGGGACCGAGCCCACAACCCGGGCATGTACCCCCGAGCGGAACCGAACCTGGGACCCTCAGTCCCCAGGCCTATGCTTCATCCACTGAGCCAAACCAGCCAGGGCCTTAATTTCCTACTACTAATATAAAAGAGAATAACAACATAGAACAGCAATTAAATTTGAAATTATTTTATATTTTTAATGAATAATTAAAAAACTTTAGCAACGAAGAAAATTCTTAATTACTCCAGAACTGTATCAACAGACAATAACTTTGAATGGAAATGAACTTATTCGTGGGAGCTTTACCTGACCTATAATTACGTTAGGGCGTGTAGAAGTATACAATACATCCAAGCATGTGCAGCTGAGTTTTTAAAATATTCTATAAAACCTTGGCCAGCGTGCATCACGGCCGCCGGTGTGATGAGTGGTCATCGGGAAGGGAACGGTAACAGTGCCGCAGAGCGGAGCTCAGTGGCTGAAGGGCTTAAGCATCTCATTTTAAGTTCAGACACAGAAACAGGGGCAGTATAACCATGAAAGCAGGCAGTGGGATGAAACTCCACAGGAAAAGAGCTGGTTCACATACAGCAATATTTGTGTGGAGGGACTAGATGGTTCTTAGTTTTCTTCCTTCATTCAAAAGGTTACGTGAGCATTTACTAAAAGCAATGCTAACTATCAAATATAAGTAAAACAAGTTTGGAAAACAATCAAGTACAATAAGTTGTGACTGGTGCCACAGAAGAGAAATTTTTAAATGGTTCTGAGGACAGCAGATCAAGAAAAACTCGTAGAGTTCATGATTTTATACTCAGTAAAACACAACTGCCACAGTTAGGATTTAATGCTTCATAAAATTCATGTTTTGCATTTTCAAAGGCAAGACAGCATGTATACTGTGCATTACCAAGTGTCCTCAGCGGGTCTAGGTCAGTGGTCCGTAATCACACACATCAGAGTCGGTGATGTGAGATAATAAAGCTAGAAAAGCCTCAGCAGCACATGGAAGGGTTGGGTGCTAATGAAGCTCAGGCTGGGCTTTGCCAGCAGTGAGTTCCCAAAGGTTTCCAGGGCTTTCTGGACTTCAGAACGGCAGCGCAGAGAGGAGGAAGGTGCATTACACTGTGACTGTCTCTGCCCACTGTTATGATTAATGATAATTTTTCCAATTGCATAGCCTGCAACCTCCAGCAGGACTGTGCCAACTGAGAGGACCGACTCTGCAAT